CAGCTAGTCACATCACATCCACAGTCAAGAGCAGAGAAAAATGCATGCATGCTTATTTGCTTACTGGTACTCAGCTAGTTTTCTGTTCTCGTTTATAGTCTAGGACCCCAAGCCCAAGGATGGTGCCCCTTTAGAATAACAGGGCCAGTTAGAATTTGGGGAGGGAGCAGGTGATACAGAGCTCAACGGCATTGAAGTGCTGTTAGATTGAGAGAGCAGAGGCTCCTGGAGGGTGGGGAAGGTGTTAGAGCCAGGCCGTGGCCAGGTAGCAGTAGTGGAGCAGGAGTTCCCCTCTGACAGCTGCATACACAGAGTCAGTCAGTTAGGGTTTCCTGCCCTCTCAGGGCTTATCTTCTCTACAATATGGAGATAATGATGCTAAAATGCACTGCACGTAGTAGGTGCCAAATAAATGCTAACTCTATGTTTGCATGCTCAGCCAAGGCTCTCAAGAGCAGCCTGGAGCCTCTATGCTGATGCTTGTGTCCCAGAAGGGAGGACAGTGTGTGGGAGCCAGAATCACCACTCTAGATACAAGTGTGGTTCTGGCCTAGCATAGTGGTGCATGCCTTTGTCCCAGCACTCCAGAGGCAGAGGCAGGTAGATCTCTGTGAGTTCCAGGCCAGCTGGGGCGACCCTGTTAAAAAAAAAAAAAAAAAAAAAAAGACAAAACTCTGTCCTCTTGTGGGTAAGGAGCACTGTCACAGGAAGGCTTATCTAATGAGGTGCTGGGTACGGGGTAGTCTTGGCTACAGAGCATGGTTTTGTTTTATAACAACAAAGAACTCCCTGGTAGAAACTACCCTTGGCATTCTTTTGTATGAGCCAGGGATAAACCTGGTTCCTAACCAGACACATTGCAGCCCCTTTCCCTGGCTTCAGTCCACAGCTTCTCTGCCTCTGTAGAGGCAGGAAATATTACTTTTTGTTTGACCCCTGAGAAAACAGAGGAAGTTCAAGGCCATACAGAGACATAACTGGTCTTAAGATAGCTGGGGGAAGGTGTCTCAAATTCGAATGTCTGGGTAGGTAGGAAGGTCAGACAGAAGATTTAAATGTGAGTATAGAACAGTAAGTAAGGGGCTGGTGAGATGGCTCAGCAGGTAAAGGCATTTGCCACCAAGCAGAATGACCTGAGTTAAATCCCCAGAACCCACACAACAGAAGGAGAGAACCAACTCCTGCCCTCTGACCTCCATATGCATGCTGTGTCACATGGACACAGTGCCCCCTCAACATATGCAAAACAAATAAAGGTTAAAAAGTTTTTTTTAAAAAAAATAGAACAATGAATAATGGTAGGCTCCCCCCAAATTAAGGTTATGTGAAGGGATTTCAACTCAAAATGTTCACATTGTTTGCTCTGTTCTGACCCATGGTTAGAACACTTGACTATAATGCAGGGAGGCCCTGAGTTCTGCCACCTCTCCTCACGTGTGGAGAGAGAGAGAGAGAGAGAGAGAGAGAGAGAGAGAGAGAGAGAAGCAACCTGGGTGAGGCATATCTGTTATGCCAACACTTAGGAGGCTGAGGCAGGAAGACCTTGAGTTTGAAGCCAACCAGAGCTACATAGTAAGTCAAAAGCAAGCTGCTCTACATAGTGAGACCCTGTCTCAAAAAAACCCAAAAGTGGGGCATAGTGGCACACACCTTTAATCCCAACACTCGGGAGGCAGAGGCAGGTGGATCTCTGTGAGTTCAAGGCCAGCCTGGTCTACATAGTGAGTTCTAGGTCAGCTGGGGCTACAGGGAGATCCTGTCTCCAAAAAATCCCAAAAAATCAGTATCCTAAATTCATTGCTCTTTCATCTAAGTTTGAGGTTCTCACACCAAGGCTGTCCATTTGGGTTTTTGTGTGACAGCATGCCCACTCTAGCACTCATTACCTGCATCCCACTAAAGGTGCTCTGCAGGTTCTCAGCAGCCCAAATCCCCTAAGTGCCTGGTTCTTTTCCAAGAAGGTTGCACCTTCTTGGGAAGTATTAGTGACAGTCATGGCCATGTCACTGTGTTCTGATATAATGCTGTTCAAAAGCTTCTGTGGCTACAGAAAGCAGAGAAAATCTCTCTCAAGAAATCTTTCTAGACATGCCTGAGCATCTTGGCGCTTTGCACAGGTGACTGCAAGGCCACGCTGGATATACCATAAACATTCAGGAATTGAAGTCTCACTGTGTAACCTAGACTGGTCCTTAACTTCGGGGTCTCCAGACATGCTCCAGTCTCAGGCTTTTAAGTAGCTGAACAACAGATCCACTGCTGCCAGTGTGAGCCTCTGTTTCTCTCCTTGTGGTGAGGTAGCAGTGAGAGAGGGTGCCATGTACTAGGCCAGACTCCAGCTTCCAATGGTATCCAACTCGTAACCCCTGGAGCCTGTGAGCATCCTCATACGTGGCAAAAGGGGAGGGAGAGGTGGTATCTCATCAATGTGATTAGCTAAAAGTCTCATTGAGATGAAGAGCTGATCCTAGATTATCAAGTAGCTGGAGTACAATCCCTGTGCTCTCAGGAGAGGTGTAAGGACAAGGGAAGAAGTAGAAGCCAGACAACTGCAAGGTTTGGGGTTTTGTTTTGGTTTTTGCCTTTTCTAGATTCTGGAGGTCACCAGGGGGCCATGAGAGGTGGCCTCCAAGAGCGTGGAAAGGTAAGAGAGAGACTGCTATCTCAACCTCAGGAAGAGCTGCTGGCCTGAGACTGCCTCCAGTGGAAAGGATCTAGTCTTCTGACATCCACAGTGGTTAAAGACAAGACTGTGCAGTTGGAAGCCATGAAACCTGTGACTTCTAACAACAGCCCTAGGAAGGTCTGCAAGCAGGAATTGTTAGAAGCTTCCTTCTGTGGTTGCTTTTTATATTTTTCCAGAAACACAAGTGGTAGAATACTTATCTAGCCTGGGTTGGGTCCCCAGTACCAAGAATAAAAAAACAAAAAAAAAAAATACAAAAACAACCTATAGTCCCAACTCTTAAGAGACTGAAGTATGAGGATCACTTGAGCCCAGGAGCCGTTCATCTCAAACAAAACACAACCTTCCCACCTTTTGGAACCAGCCTTAAGACTGCTAGGAATCTAAAGCTGTGGCAGTACTATGACAGATCAAGCTGAATGCTTTATAGAATCCCTTATTTAATCCTCTCAGCCTTCTAGAAAGCAGGTAGGACTATTAACATCCATTACACAAATGAGGAAATCAACACCTAGCACATTTAACTACTTTGCTTGTGGTTTCCCATCTGAGAACAAAGAACCAGGTTCAACACCCAGGTTTGTCTTCCCCAGAATCACTGTTGAAAGTAGACTTAAAAGCAACACAGTGCCAGTAGTGATTCAGTTTGTCTCACTATTTTGTGTTCCCTGCCACTTGGCAGGGAGAGTTGAGTGCAGGTCTTGGCTTGGTCATTATAGGTGGAGAACCTGGACAGGTCATTCACCATTCCACACCTCAGCTTCCTCATCTACCAGGTGGGATAGGCAAACAGAGGGTAGTCAGAATGAATGGGATTTGGAAGTGAAAGGAGTGTGGTGCCTGGTACCAGATAAGGGCACTGTACCTAGCATAAGTACAGATCAGAAAACTGAGGACTGAGGGGGTGACTCACTTGTTCCAGGTCACCTGGGAACTTTGAGGCCTTGACCATAACCCTGGCAAAGATGAATGGCTCAGGCTTTGTAGAGGCCACTAATCCCTACTTTGGCCTGAGAAGAATCCCTGAGTAGAAGCCTTGGAGCAGCTAAGGAATAAATTCACTTATTCATTCTACATTCTTCTAGTTAAAATCTGTCAGTGGCTTTGTTTCCAAAGTATTAAGAAAGCAGCCAAATTCCCACCAGGTCCTTTGCAGCCCTACAAAGGACCTAGCCTTTTTTAGGCTGGAATTCATCCCATTGGGCATGGCCTTCTTTTTCTTTTTTAATGTGTATGATTGTTTGGCCTGCATGTATGTAAGTGTGTGCAATGCCCATGGAGGTCAGAGAAGGGCATCGGTCCCTGAGAATTAAGAGTTACAGTTGGTTGTTAGCCATCATGTGAGTGCTGGAAATTGAACCTGGGTCCTCTGCAAGAGCAGCCAAAGCTCTTAACGAGCCATCTCTTCAGCCCCAGGCATGGCCTTCTAGCAATTGCTCTTACTCATCAAGACCGTGTTTCCTCTGCAAAGAATGCTCTTCCAGGCACTATTGGTGTGGGCTCCTTCCTGTTACTCAGTTCTTTGCTCAGACAGATCTCCTCTCACCCCCAGCTAAATCCATCACTGCACCTGCTAATTTTCTACCTAGCATCTACTTCTCTCTAAAATTATCTTCTTTATGTATCTGAGCATTGACTGTCTGAGAGTAGGGACCACTTTATCACCATTGATACCTCAATGCCCAACAAGGTGCCACGAGTGCAGTTGAATAAATTTCACATCTGGCTTCTGAAACTCAACCGGATTCTCAAACCAAAAGAAATGGCCCCAGGTGAGGGCTAGTGGTGGGGTGATGGTGTATGTCTGGCCCGAGGCGAGTCCAAAGCCGCACTGATTATCAGACCAAGTCCCGCAGGGTCCCTAGGCTGCATGCACCACTAAGCCCACCGCCAAGCCCCCACCCCCAGACCACCATGGGGCGTGCAGTGGGGCGCGCAGGCCGCCAGGGGGTGCTATCGGGGCGCGCACGGCCCACCTGGCACCGGAGGCCACGAGCTAGCGCTGCCAGGCCGCCCGGGAACTTTTTTCCTCGCGCTCTCGCTCCTGCTCCCCCCGCACGTCGCCCGCCCG